CTTTATGGATGAAATATTCTCCAGCGTGTATATGTGTGTGTGTATGTATGCATATATATATATATCTTTCCATTTCCTCTACACATTCATCTGTTGATGGACATCTAAGTGGATTCTACAAGTTGGCTAGTATAAATAGTATTCCAAAAAAACATTGGCATGAAGGTACTTCTACTGTATGTTGGTAGAATTACATTTCTTTGAAACTCATGGCACCTTCTGATTTACATTCACTTATTCAGTAAGTGTTTGAAGTCTCTCACAGGAAATAGGTGTGTGTGAGCAGTAAGCAAGCAAAGAAACAAAACCCACAAGCCCTGCTCCACAGCAGGTTTGAGAACATCTGGGAGAAAGAGATACAAGATTAAAAGCAGATATGTCAGAATTCTTCATGTCCTCCTTGAATTCCTTAAGCTATACATGCAAGCATTTTGTCAACAAGAGGTATTTCAATCTGCAATAAAAATAAAATTTACAGTCATTAAATGACACAAGGGTGTCTGGGGCAGGGAAGTCTGCAGAGAATTGACTCAAATGGGCTGGGGTGTTGGCTTGGACTAGAGATAGGCAGCTATCCAGGGCCTCAATACTGAGAGCCCAAAGGGAGAGAAAAAGAAGAAAAGTTCAAGGAGGAAGAGAAGGAGGAAGGAAGGAAGGAGAAGGAGAAGAAGAGGAAGAGGAAGAGAAGGGAAAAGACAGGGAACCGGGTCATTACATAAGAAAAAGCACAGGGAAAGCTGTAGAAACTAGTCCTGTCAGATGTGTTAAGCTTTGGTAGTGCATTTGGGTTACTAAACATAATGGAAAGAACTAGAAGATTTGAGCAAGGCTCAGATTAACCAGATGTCCCAGGGTGTCCCATTGCAAGCGGGCTGAGCACTTACAGTCTAGTGGAGGTTAGGTGGCCTCTTTTCCAAAAAGACAGATAGATGTCATGGAGTAGACAAGAGTCCCTGGTCAGGCATTGGGGGTTCACGGCTACCACACCAGGTATTTGGAGGTGGAAGTCAGAAGATTATGGTGTGAGACTTGTCCCAGGAAAACATGTGAGATCCTATCTGAAAAACCAAGGTAAAAAGAGCTGGGGGGGGGGGGGGTGGAGAGGGGTGGCTCAAATGGTAGGATGCCTGCCTAGCAAATGTAAGCCTTCTTAGTTTAAAAACCTCAAACCTCAGAACAGTTCCTTGTATTTTCCAAAGAGACACAGGAGCTAAGGGGCTATTTTGATTGCATTATACCTTCAATTGACAAATAAAGAAAAATGGTTTAGAAAGGTGAAGTGATGATCTTTTTATTTTTTTATTTTTATGCTACAGAACAGCAGAGCTTTCACCTAGATTTCTGGTACCTTATTTTCCAGCCCAGGGATTTTTCCATTTTCTAGGACCTTTTCCTGGAGCAAGCTCAGGGCCTCACTCCATGCCTGGCAGGACTTTCTCTGGAAAAGGATTTCATTATATAACTTATCTTTTATCTTCATTTGTCTCAGAACCCATTCAGTAGGAGTGGGGGAAAAAAGAGATTGCTAGAAAATGTTAAGATTATAGTTTAAAATCTGACTTTTGGTGGCTGCACTTCAAAATTTTAATTTTGAAGAAGAAACTACAAAATAAGACGTGAAGCATTAATGTTTTCACATGCTTTCAAAGGCAATTCCAACACATCCTTATTATTCCAAACCGCAAGCTTCCTTTCCATTGCTTCTTAACTCTGCAGAGAAAGGGACTCAGTTGATGTAATCTGATAAATGGCTAGTCTAACAGAACCCCCGTGTTCCTGAAGAGTAGGAACAGGGTTTCTGAACTGACCATACCCATCAAAAAGCTGTCAAATAAAATCAGCCACAGCGCCTTACAGCCATCACCTACATCCAGGCCCCAGCACCTGGGCAAAGGCAATCAACAGATCCAACTTCACATCTCGCCCACGTCACTTACGACCACCGCACCATGCTCTTAACATTTCAGTGCTTAGCTTCTTCATCTATAAAATGTAGTGCAGAGTACTCAACCACAGTTCTGCTGTGGAGATGAAGTGAGCCATGCATGTGTATTGAGCCCAATGGCCAGGGATAAGGGTCTGAGAGTCACATCACTCTAGTGAGCTTGTCCAAGACTGGGTACAGATGCATGCCAGGCCAGCAGGACATAGGATGGGAGGCTTTCCATTGCTTATACTCACTTCAGTCTTCTGTTCTGATACCTATCCCTGGCTATGGCCTTCTTTAGTCCTCGGCATTCCAAGTTGGGTGCTGTGATTTACAGGTAAGATGATGGGATAGGAGCAACAGAGAATATTTCCAAACGGCTCTCCCCTTGAAATTCTTTTCTTCTATTTCAGGAAGGGAAATTCTCCCAGGGCCATCACTCAGAGCTCTTTGGCTGGGAGGTGGTCACATGACCACCTTTATTGGCCTTTATTGGCTTCTGGGAAAGATGAGGGTTTTTAAACTGAATGCTTGCCTGGCCTTCACAGTATTAGGATTTTGTTTTGAGAAAGAAAGGCAGATATATCTAGGGTAACTGAATGTCTCTGTTTGCTAAGTAAAGCATTATTAATGATAACTAATATTTAAAAGGAATTATGGTTTGCTCCTGATTGGAAGGATCAACATCGTGAAAAATGGCAGTATTTTCCCAGGCTATCTACAAATTCAATGCCATACTTATCAATATTCTAACCTCATTCTTCAAGGAAATAGAAGAAGCAATCCAAAAATTCATATAGAACAATAAAATACCCCGAATAGCAAAAATGATCCTTAACAGAAAAAACAGTGCTGGAAGAATGTCAATACCAAATTTCAAACTCTACTAAAAAGCCATAGTAATCAAAACAGCTTGGTACTGGCACAAGAACATACCTCAGGACCAATGGAATAGAATTGAAAACTCAGAAATGAACTCACAGACCTATAGCCAACTAATCTTCAATAAGTGAGCTAAAAAATATAGAATGGAAGAAAGACAGCCTCTTCAGTAAATGGTGCTGGCAAAATTGGTTAATCATCTGTAGAAAACTAAAGCTAGATTCATATATATCACTCTGCACCGGAATCAACTCCAAATGGATCAAAGACCTTGGAGTCAAAGCAGACACTCTGAAAACATTACAGGAAGGAATAGTAGAAACCCTAGGTTTCCTTGGCACAGGACGAAATTTTCTTAATAAAGACCCAGAAACACAAAAAGTCAAAGAAAGGTTGAACAAATGGGACTGCATGAAGCTGCAGAGCTTCTGCATGGCAAAGGACATAGCTACCAAGATCAACAGAAAGCCTACGGGTTGGGAGAAGATCTTCACTAGCCATACAACAGATAAGGGTCTCATATCTAAAATATAGCTGGAACTCAAAAAATTGAATCCCCAACAACAAATCCTCAAAGAAACAACTGCCCAATAAATAAGTGGGCTAAAGATTTACAGAGAAACTTTTCTGAAGAGGAAATAAGAATGGCCAATAAACACATGAAGAAATGCTCAACCTCTCTAGGCATAAGAGAAATACAAATCAAAACAACACTGAGATTCCATCTCATCCCAGTTAGAATGACTATAATCAAGAACTCTAATAACAACAGATGCTGGAGGGGATGTGGCAAGAAGAGAACCCTACTGCACTGTTGGTGGGAGTGTAAACTTGTTCAACCACTTTGGAAAGCAGTATGGAGGTTCCTGAAAAGACTCCACATAGAGCTCCCCTATGACCCAGCAATCCCACTATCACAAACAAGACCATACTAAAGCTACCAGTACAACTATGTTTATCTCAGCATTATTTACCATAGCTAAGATATGGAATCAACCCAGATGGCTCTCAGTAGATGAATGGATCAAGAAAATGTTGTATTTATACACAATAGAATTCTATGCCTCCATCAGAAAGAATGACATTGCCCCATTTGTTAGGAAATAGAAAGACTTGGAAAAAATTGTATTAAGTGAAGTAAGCCAGGCCCAAAGAAACATAGGTCCCATGGTTTTCCCTTATTTGCAACAACTAGTAATTGTTTGAGACAAGCAGAAAAGGTCAAAAGCTATGTACATATGACCAGATAAGATGATGTTAAGTGAAATGAACCCCAAGATAGGGACACAAGTGGTTTTCTCTTCCTTGCTATTGTTTCTAATGTATTTATAAGGTACCATGTGATTTTTTTTGTTGCTTTGTATGTCCCTTCCCCACGGTATAACCCGTTTTCACTGTATTTGATGTTGGTATAATTTGGGGAACGGAAGGGTAAAAACAAAATGTTTAATAGGGATACAGGTTCCCATTGTAACAATGAGATGTACAAGATGCTATGTTGAAAAACAACCTTTACAATTTAGGCAAGGGGAGGGGGGTGTTAGTTGTGGAAGTGGGAGAGAAGGGATGGTAGGGGAAAAACAAAGGAGGAAGCAACAATGCTTGTTAGGAAACGTACTCATTACCTTGCTCATGCAACTGTAACCCCTCTGTACAGTATTTTACAATAAAAAACTTATTAAAGAAAGGAACTATGGTTTCTCAGAATTGTTACTGTTCCTTGATGCTCACAACTAGATTGCAGAGAGCAATCTGAAGAAAGATATACCTTAAGAGATAACTCTTAAGCTCGCAAAATCTAGACAAGCTAAGATGTCCAATATATATGCTAATAATTACAATGTTTCACATCATTAAAAAATCCCATCTTGCTAATATTAAGATACAAAAAGCACTTGGAATTAAGTCAACTTATTTGAGTTTTTAATAAGCATGCCTGCATTATAATTTTGTATCTGATGTGCAAATAAATCTACCGTTTACCATCACTGTTTACTGTTACCATTGTTAAAACACAAAACAATTGAGCATGACTTTATATTTATATTAAGATGTACATAGAATAAATTGTGAATTGTGTTGTGAAAAACCCAGCTTATGCATTTTTATTTCTTATCAGTCTGTTTTTTACAGATTATGCCTTCAGTTGCTTTTACCAAACAAAGAACTCCATAAGAAAGAAAGGTCTTACCTTATTGTACCTTAGCTGAAGTTCTGAAAGTAATTGCTTTGGCCACTCATCAGAACACAGGTACTAGAGGAGAAGAAGAAATCAGAGTTAACAAGTGTCAGAATCCTGAAAAACAGAAAGTCAGTAGGTTACATAGAATGATTTAGGACAATGTAAAAAAAAGAATCAAAGAATTTTTGCCTACATAGGTCATGGTACCTAACTGTACAGCTACTTCATGTAACCAATAGGACACAAGGGCTTAGAGAAGATCTCTGTCCTTGGTGAAAGAACACACACACTCACACACACACTCACACACATTCTCTCTCTCTCTCTCTCTCTCACACACACACACACATCCTCAGTCAATAACCACAATATTTGTACCTGCCTAACCTCAGACTGCAAGAAAGAGATACAGAATGAGTAGAAGGGAAGAAACAAAGATGGAGCCTGATCCTTAGTTTTGATGTAAGTGATAGGTAATGTTCTCTATTTAAAAGTGTAGTCTACCTCTCTACTTTCAAAGGGTAGATACATGTGCACTACCTCAGAGTCCAGTATCCCATCTTCTCCCAGAAACTGCAAAGTCTGGGGCTGGGAAGGTGGCTCAGTGGTAGAGCGCTTGCCTTGCATGCATGAGGCCCTGGGTTCGATTCCTCAGCACCACATAAGCAAAAAGAAAAAAGCCAGAAGTGGCGCTGTGGCTCAAGTGGTAGAGCACTAGCCTTGGGCTGAAGAACTGAGGGACAGCACCCAGGCCCAGAGTTCAGGCCCCACGACTGGACCCCCCCCCCCCCCAAAAAAAAAAGAAACTGCAAAGTCTAACTAAAGATGACCAGCTCACTCCCACACAAGGCTGGAAGGAAATAAAGAAAGTCTCTGAGATCCATTTCAACAGGACACTCAGTGCCCCCAAAGAGGTAGAGGGTAAGACTACACCAAGATGTTGTCAGATCTTTCAACAGAGAACCTTGTGGTTCCTACAGACTGAGAACCAGAAACTGAAGGGAGAGGCAGGGGGACTTGAAGCATGCATGAAGAGTAAATTTCTTCAACAAGGAAGAAGGAAGCTGAGCCATCCAGTGCCGTCTGCCACAGAACAGCTCAGAGATGGGCAGTGAATGTGGGGAGAGTTTTATAGGCACTGTACAGACAGGGTAGAGGACATCTTTCCTGCTCTTTGAGAGGGCTGTCGAGCATGGAGTCATCTTTCCATGTTGACACTTTATAGGATCTGACAGATCCAACACCAAGCGTGCAGCAGGAGTCAGTTCTCTGACAGTCTGCTGTCTTGCACAGAGCAGTGATGCAGACAGGGTCTGCTATCTGGATTCCGTTTCACAGTGTGTAAACTCTCCAATCACTTTTGCTTCACATACCTACGAGTTGGGGTCCGATTGCCTACAGAAGTAAATAATACCTATCTCTCCATTAAAATTATGCTTAAAATGCAATTAAACACCACAGGAACCAATCCTTAAAGTGTCTGTGAACACTCCTTTTGTTTGATGAATTTGGAAGCGATATGTGAGGTTGACCAACCCCAGAGTTTCTTGAGTATCAGACTCAGAGAATCATTCGTTTGGAAAAGTCTGTGAATGAAGTGGCTTTCATCCTAGCATCAACGTCATTCTCTTGGTGAATTAACTGTGCGTGGCATCATGGAGGGGTTAGCTTCCACTCTCCAAATTCGGATGATAGCCTGGGCTCCAGTTCCCGCAACCATGGTTCAAAAGGTTACAGACTCAGTGCATGATGCATAATGCCAGACATCACCATCACAATTATGTGCTTAGCCAGATAAAGAAGAAAACAAGGCCAGCAATGAACAATAATTGTGGAAGGCTGGATGTCTTTCAATAGGTTTGCAAAATTACTTTGATTTAGAATATACAGTAGGTAGAATGTTAGGTTTGAAGGAGTAGTTGTTGAGTTTCTTTTCCATCATACTATCCTGTATTTATGGAGTAGTAAATTGGGTGTGATGGGGGTGGGGGATGGGAATTAGAATCCCCAGGGCAGAACTCCACGCTGGGCATACTAGGAGCCATCTGGCAAGATGAAGACAAGTGGAAAATAGTCTCTCTCAAGATTTGGATAAAACTGGGGCTGGGAAGGTGGCTCACTGGTAGAGCGCTTGCCTTGCATGCATGAGGCCCTGGGTTCGATTCCTCAGCACCACATAAGCAAAAAGAAAAAAAAGCCAGAAGTGGCGCTGTGGCTCAAGTGGTAGAGCGCTAGCCTTGAGTTGAAGAGCTGAGGGACAGCACTCAGGCCCAGAGTTCAGGCCCCACGACCGACCAAAAAAAAAAAAAAAAAAAAAAAGATTTGGATAAAACTGTAAGAGAATTAGTTTTTCCTTGGTGGTTACCACCATCCTTGGCCACAGAGCCTGGCTCTTGGTTGGACTGCACACCTCCATGAGGAGAAAATAACATCATAGTAGAGAGGCAGAGAAAAAATGCATTTATGTATAGTTTTGTACAAAGCTATGGAGAGAGAACTTCCCAATCTGTCCCCGCCTGCCCCATCATACCATTGTAGTGCCATAACACAAAACCAGCCATGAAGTGTGCATATGGACCCCATTCCTCACAGCAACGTACTCTTTGTGCACAGCACAGAATTCCCTAGGTGGACCCTAATTCCTAACCTCCTCATTGCAATTGGATTTGGTGATGTAGCAGCTTTGAACTTTTAGGGCAATCATTGGAAAGGTTGCGTTTCCTTAAAACTTCTCTCAAAAATTTTATTTGCTTACTTTCTAATTATTTTGAGCATGTATATTCCTCTTATCTCTAGAAAGATGAAAAAATATTTGAGCTGATGTTTTGCAATGTAAGTGGATGATAAACGAATTTGTAGTCATCTGATTTAGTTAGAATCAAGCCTACTCACAGTCTTGAAATAACTAAGCTTAATTGACTAATTTTAACTTCTTACATTCGACTGAAATTAGATTCTGGACTCTTAGGGATAATCTAAAATATTCCTTTTTAAAAAAAATTCACAGTATGCTTTTAGTTTACTAACCTACCTTCTTTTCTGAAAACCAAAATAACAAGTGCTTTAGTAAAATTAAGGCTGACAGCCCATTTTATGGGAGTATGATAAATATAGTTCCGAACACATATACATTAGGCTAAAACTGGTTTGCATTTAGTTCCTACTAAAAAAGCCCACAATTGCTAATATCTATTCTCATTCGTATGACATGCATGATTTATTTCCAGTAGACTCTCTTTTCTTACTTTTGGCCATCCCAACCAGAGTAGGGGAGATAAAACTGCAACATGAAATAGTTCTTTTTAAAAAAAGCACCAAGTCCTCTGTAACCTAAGAGAAAGAAACATAATGGTAGATAAAAGGTTTAGGAAAGGTGTTGGGAAGTAAGTATTCTTTGTTTTTCTGTGTGTCTAGCTAGTCATTATTTTTAGTTTGTTAGTGAAATACAGAGGTCAGATAACTCTCTCCTAGTTGTCTAGTATGGTAAGGCTGGTTCCTCTTGATTTCAAATACTAAACAATAACAGTAATGAAAACAATGGCTACATCTCACCCCTGTATTTCAGGCACTATTTTAAGCCTCATAAGCTCCTGGCTCTCCACTAGGCACAGCTCTGTGAGGTGAGCCACATTCTTACCCTCTTGGTGTTGACAAGGAAACAATGCCTGATTGCTTTGTGCAGGAAATCATCTCTGCAGTGAATACAGAGGGAAAATGTCTCAATTTGCTAACCCCACTTTCCCATTTCTGTCCATACTATATCCCTTCCATCATAAAATTAGAACAAGTCCAGGCTGAAATAAGCAGTCAATGGGACCACCTGTCTTTGTTTTTGAAATGTTGTTTGAGCTGTTCTGTTATGGAGATTGCGGGGCGAGGGAGGGGGTCTTGGCCAGCAGACAGTAAGGACCTATGGTGGACAGTTACCTGCCCACCAACGGCAAATGCCCAGCACTCCTCAGGGTCCATCACTGATTTGGAAGAAGAGAGAGAAATTGGAAGCAGTATTCTGGTGCTAAAGAAAGTTGCTGGGCCACAGGGTTTGTTGTCAAGCCGTGGATTGATAATGGCATTTAAAGAGATACTGCAGACTGAGCATGTTGGTCTATGGGCCAGGCTGGCTGATGAGGGTCCAGCTTCAGACACTTAGGGGGCAGGTGTAGAGATGAACATCCAGCCTGTAGCAGACTTGGCAATTCAGCTGCAGACCTCAGATAGACAGGGGCTGGGGATATGAAGTGGTTTAATATATCAGGGTGAGTATGTTTGTGATGGAAAAGAGGATCATCCCTGCTGTGGGAGATGTAGATGGGGATGTACATTTCAAATGAAAGCAAGGAGAGCTAACCAGGACTGGAGGAAGAGATGCTATTGTAAATGCTAATTATCTTGCCAAGGCCCACCACTGTAGGTCTTGGAGGCCACACAATTCTCGGCATACAGCAGCTTGGGGCGGGTGGGGATAAATCTCTGCACTGCATGGAGGCCAAGCAGGGTTATATCTTCGGGCTGACAGCTAGTTCTCAGTTCTTACAGATCCCCGAGGTGGAGGCCTGAGGGAGTGGAGACGAAGATGCCTGCAAAGTTCTTTTACATTGAGAGTGAGGCTATGTCAACAGGCAATTTAGTGAAAAGTATTTCTCTCCGTTTCAATTTTGGCAGAGAGCAGAAATGAGAGAGGAAAACTTTAACCCTGCACATGGAAAAGAATGACATGTCCCTCAGTCCAATTTCAACAGACCTAATCTCGTCCTGTTGAGATAAAAGCTGTAGGTTAATAGAATTAAAAAAAAATTCAACTTGCCATACAAAATGGAACTACATGAGTTGTAGGGAAGGGGGAATCAGGAGGGAAAAACTGGGAGAAAACAAGGAAAGAGGTGACACTGTTCAAATAGAAATGTACACACTACCTGACATGTAACTATAACCCCTCTGTACAAAACTTTTACAATAAAATTAAAAAAGAAAATTATCCAAACTCTGTAATGAGGTGTTTCATTCTGCATACACAGAAACTGAGTGAGAACAAGATACTTCATCAACCATAACCATGCTTATGGATTGGCTCTTTACCGCAAGTAATCTTTTGTCTGTGTACATTTACCTTGTTCATATCAGGAAAAAAATGTATTTAATGATTAACTAGAATTTCTACTAGTGTCATTTACATTATAGAAATTCTAATGTTTTTTTTTGAGCACCCAAGATGCAACCAGTTACTTTATCACCAGATTCTTTTCAAACGAAAAGGAATACATAATAGATATTATAGTTACA